TGCAGTGCCGGCCCAGTTGCCTGGGAGGGGGTGCCAGTCAACTCAGTGAGGCTTACTTCCAAGTAGACCTACATAGGATTGCAGAAAACCTGCAAGGTGCAGTCATATGGGTGGCCCCCCATTGTTCACGTACTGCAAACCTGGAGGCATATGAGCTTCCTATGCAGGGCAGGGGGCTCTGGGAAGACCACCCTTGTTTCCCCATTTCAATCCATCAAGCTGGGCCAATTTGGAAGGGGGCAAAGGATGCTGGAGAGACCCCGGGGTTCCTAAATTTATTTTTTATTAGATTTATATCCCATTTTTTCATTACAACGAACTCCGAGCAGCTTACACAAGCCTCATGTAAGCTGTTCAAATGCCCTCGGGCGGCCGTTGGCGCCCTCCCTGAAAGCAATCTCATTTCAGCCTGGCTTTGCTTGCGCTTTCTTCTCGGCGCTTAGAGGCCCTCGTTCTGCCCGGCTCTGCAGGCGCACCGTGTGTGTTGACTGAAAACGCGGCTTTCTGCACACCTGTGTTGGCTTCGTGCTGGTGCTTGAGGCCGCTCACCTGGGGATAAGCGAGACCTGTTGCGCACGGGACCGATGTCTGTGGAGGCGTCTGTGAAATGGGCCCAGGGTGGGCTCAGACCCCGCGAGGGAAGATGCCCCCCGTCTGCCCACAGTGACCGCTCGGCTCCGCTTCCGGCTGCCCCGCCACTGTAATTAGGTCAGCAATTCATCTGCGTAGAAATTAGCATCTCGCCCTTCTCGCACCCCAGCTCCGTCTGGAACAGCTCGGCTCGCAGCGGTTCAGAGCGCCGGCAAATACGCACGGAGGCCTCCCTCTGAGCGAGACGGCCGAGATCATCCAGGGCACCGCCGTCCTGCAGAACGGGCCGGACTGTGCCAAGGGCCAAGAAAGGGAGCGGCGCTTTCTGAAAGGAAGAAGGCAGCCCGGCGACTGTCCTTCTGCGGGGGGAAGACCCCGCGGTTACATGGACTTGCCTCTGCCCCCGATGACGTGGCTCTTGGAAGGCAGAAAGCGAGGTTAAATGAGCAGAGAGGAGACGCGGCCATCCTTGCATTTGCGGGGCTGCCGTTTAGGAAGAGGGGCAGTTCTGCACTCCCGGGGGTGGGTGCTGCATGGAAAGGGCATCGTTTCCTTTTTGCAATACCTGGACCCTAAGGTAGGCCTTAGACACGTCTCCCTTTGCAGGCTGGGACACCCTGGCTGGCCTGGGGCCACGCTTGCAAGAAGCCGGAAGGAAGGAAGCGGGGCTTTCCTGTTTTTTGTGTAAACCAGCTTCTTCCGTTTGCTTTCTAGGCTGACTTATGTTCTCTGGGGCCATCTCTGGGTTGCTTTCCCACCTGCCAACATTCATTATAATACGGGGGACTCCGGGTAAACCCTTTCAAAGGCTGGAAGGACGCTTTGCCGAGTAGCTCTCGATTCCTACGGGCTGTTTTTGAACTGTGAGTGGAGGCAGGCAGTGTGGCCTGCTCAGCACAGAGGCCAGGGGGACCTCGCTTCAAATCCTCTGGTGGCCAGGAATCCACCAGCTCAAGCTGGACTGGTCAAAATGGTGCTGCCTGACCTACCTCGCAGGATGGTTGTAAAGATGAAATGGGAGGAAGGTGTGTCCTGCCCCGAGCTTCTTAGAGGTCAAAACGGATGCATGCTTGAAAACGCATGAATTAAATTAAATGCCACTAAGCGGGACTCACTGAGTGCACTTCTCTGTTTCAATCCCAGTTATGAAAAATCCACCTGCCGGGAGGAAGGACGTCTGAGCCAGCATCTCTCTCTGGGGTCACACTCTCTGTGTCCTTGTGCTCCATAGCCTCGTTCCACGGTTATTAAATCCAGCCTTATCTGGGCTGGTTGCAAACAGTTGTCCTCGCCTCCTTCCAGCCCAAGGTTGCCCGACTGCTCCCGGTTTCTCCACTTCCTGCCCCGGCAGATTTGGCTTGAAGCCGGAGCTGCTCTGTGGGGAGAGAGGCAACCTGCCAGGGGCGAGTGGACCGTGTCCCCTGTGGAGAGGTTTGCTTCGGTGGCTGCCGCCTCTGCCCTTCCGTAGGACTCCTTGCCGGGCGCGTGTGTGCGTGCACGCACACGCCGGTGTTCTTCTCTTTGCACGTCTTAATAATGCATGCAGGATGCGAGCGAGAGCTGAAATTTTAGAGCAAGGGCTGACCTGACGGATTTCGCCGATCAGCCCGGTCAGCTGCGTGCGGCAGACCCGTGGAGGAGGTAATGGTTCCCAGGTTCGAGCAAACACCAGTTATTTTTGGGCTCCGATTCCTCAGAAGCAAAGGGACAGGCCCCGGGGCAAGGCTCTGGCTCGGCTCTCCTCCGGGCCTTGGAAATGCAGGACCGAAAGCGGGCCAACTCTGCGCTCGGCCGGGGCCGCCCCGCTGCCGGGGACGGGGCAGGCGCCGCTCAGTCCCTATGCTCGGGCCCTGCAGTTAATGGCATGAAACGTCCCCCGCCGTGCCACGATCGGGCCCCGCATCTGCCCTCCCGTGTGCGCGTCCAGGGCCTGAATGGCGCGGCCTCGCTGGGCCGCCACGGCACGCACGGCGCCAGCCGCACTCATGCTGCGCAACGGCTGGTGCGGCGCCAAAGGCGCGCGGCGCTCAGCCCCGGGCCACCGCAAGGCTGCCTGCATCGCCCTGCAGAGCGTCCCCCAGCCGTGGGCGGGCTGAGGGCTGCAGGGGCGTGGCCAAAGGCGAAGGGGGCGGGGCGCGCTGGCACAGGGCCGCAGCCGAGCAAGCCCGCAGCCTTGCGCTCGGCAGCCCGGAATTCCGCTTTCGGGGAGGCACTGCGATCTTCCCGAAAGGAAAAAAACGCGGTGCAAAAGCGGCTGGTGCTTTGGGGGAGGAGCAGGGGTGTGGCCACCGGGGGAGCCCCGAGGGCCGGGTTGGGCTCTGGGGGGCCCAGTCTGGCTGCCGTGCCCGGGGGGACCCAGCCCTTCGGTCGCCAGGGCAGTTGGTGGCCTGGGCACCGCCTCCAAAAGGAATGCCCCCTCCAGGCTGGGGACGGGCCCCCTCTTCCCCTTCTGGGTGCGAGCAAGTGGGGCGCAGGAGGAAGGGGGTGCAGCCGGCAAAGCCCTTGAAGAAGCGATGCGAGGGCGAGGGGTGTGGAGGGAGGGGGCAGCCCCCCGCCCATAATCGCTCCAAGGACAGCGCGTGCGTGTGCTCCAGCCCATCCTTCTCGCGGCCCCCGCGGCCTCTGGCCTCTCCGGGAGGGGATGCGGGGGGCGCGCTGGCTGCGGAAGAACCCGTGCAGCGGCGAACGATGGGCCTCCAGCTCGGGCCTCCCCGCTGCACCCAGCATGCTGGGGGGGGGGGGGGCTGCTGCGTGCACGTGTGCCCCGGCGCTCGCCCCTCCAGCTGCAGCGTGGGACGGATGCTGGCCCACCTTGCAGGGTCGTGCTGTGCATGAAATTAGCAAGATCTCCTGGGCGCTTTCCCTCAAGTCCCCTTGCACCGTGGCGTAACCCCCTCGCTTTCTTGGCCTGCCCCAATCCGAGCCTCCGCCTGAGCTGAGGGAGGCACGGTGCTGCTTTTGAAAGCGGAGGTTGTTCCTGGGACCAAGTCCTGAGCTGCTTGTTGGGATCCGAGCTTGTGCGGGACTCGGCCAGTTCCATCGGAGGGAGGGGGACTTAAAATGATGGGGGTTGTTGCGTGTCCAGTGCAGAGCGTGAAAGACACGCCCTGGTAGGAACCTGCCTGCAGCGGTTAAAATGATGAATGGTGAGAAGAGGGTGAATGGAAGGAAGCACATCATTTTGACGCCCACAGGGCTTCTTGGAGCATTGGCAGCGAGCTCTGAATGAACAAAAGCCTGAATGTTGGCACTTGAGACCTGACTAAATGGTGGAATTAATTGCCACGGGGTGCAGTTGCACCATGAGCGAGTGAGCAAGGTTTAGAGAGGTGCACGAGGCCTAAATACTATGCTAGGTCAGAATGGAGCCTCCATATCTCCAGGCAGTTTAGCTTCCTGTGCCAAATATGGGGTGGGGGGGAATGTAAGAAGTCCCTGGCATGTCGCTCGGCTTACGGACTTGGCCTTTGCTTCCCTCGAAGCACCGGGAGGTGCCGACACCGTCAGCACGGCCTTGAAATTCCACGCTAAAGAGGCACTTTGGGGCTTCCCTGGAGGCGTTTGGGCGAGCCCTGGGGGTCACAGCCTGCCAGCGGAAGGAACGCTTGGCCTGGCCCGCCCTGGGGACCCTGGCCGGCCGAGCCCCTCGTCTCAGTAGCCCTCGGCCCACTTGGCCCGGCCTCCCTGGTGGTTCCGGCCATTCCTAGAGGAAGCCACCAGATTTCCAGCAAAAAGAACAGAGCCGGACATCCGAGCAGGCCTTGTGGCTGCCCTGTGACCCGGCCGTGCCCGTCTCCGCTCCATATACGGCCGGGAGTGAGGGCTGGGAAGAGCATGGCGGGAATGCCAGGCATTTGCGGCATTCCTCGTCCCGCTGCTGCCTCAGCTCGCTTTCCTCTCCGTTTCCCATTAATTCGGAACATGAGCTGGGCGTCGCACACAGAGAGAATCCGATGTTCTGAGCGTCACCTCCTGGGAACACGCGTTCCTGCGCATGAGATAATGCTGTGCGCAGCGCCACCGTCCCCGGCTCCCGCAGGCCACCTCGTCCCCACATGTGCCGGCGCTTCTTGGCGAGCTGCAGGCCCGAGATTGTCGGCTGCTTGGGGAGGGCTCACCGCTCCACCGTTGCCTCCTGGATGCTCAGTCTGGCTTCCTCCTCATCCGCCCCCTTCCCTTCTTGGCAGCTGCTAGCAGAGGATGCAGAGCATGGGTGGGGGGGCGACCTTCGTTCAGGAAACCAAGCGGCTCTCCACGTGGGCCGTCCTGCTGCTGCTCCCAGTGCTGAAGCATCAACAGCGTTCATGGCTGCGGGGGGGGGGGGGGGGGCCCCCTGTGTGGGGCGGGGGGGGCCTACGCTCAGCGAACAGACCCTTGCTCTGTCCTTTATGTGGGGTGCCAAACCTTAAGCCAGTGGCCCAAATCCATGTCGCCTGGGGTCTCCGTCTGGATCTGGGGGGTTACCAGGAAGGCCCTGCCATGGCTCCATCTGACTAATCATTCAGTGGTCTGGCCTGCTTGGGAATTATGGGAGTTGTAGTCCAGTAAGGCTGAAAGCTGGGGGAAGACTGGTCTGGATGGCAGCGTGGTTTGCTTCAGCAGAAGACCACTCGATTGTTCGGCCTGCTTCTGGGGGCAGCGTTCCTTCTTTAGCACATAGACTGGCCGGGGCGGAGAAAGAGGCCGGAAACTCCTCTGAATCATGAGCTGTCCGGGGTCTCTCTGGAGGCCTGAGGTGTTGGAGGGCCTTTGTTGGGAGGGGAGCGGATCCTCCCCATCTGAGCAGCCCGACTTCATGAGAAAATCCCAGGATCGTGTGGGTGGTCCTGCCTCCAGCCGTGCCCCTTGTAGCCTGGCACAGGATGGAGGGTCAAAATCTGCGCATGAGCGAGTCCCAGGGCTGACGGAGAAAATGTGTCTGTTCCCAACACGGTGCCGGAGCACTGAGATCATCCTGGGCGGACAGACGAACAAGCAGGTCCTAGATCAAATCAAGCTGCCAGCTTCCCTGGGAGCAAAAATGGCAAAACCGAAGCGGTCCTCCTTGGAGCACCCCATCCTGAGAAGGCGAAATTTGCTGAAGCGGACGAGCAGGCGAGGGAAAGCCAAAGCCAGAAGAGGGAGAGGAAAGCCAGCTCTGGTGGCTTCCGACGAGGATTTTGGGAAGCCCTCCTCGAGAGGCTCTCCACACAGCGGAGACTGCTTGTTGGCACCCAGCGACAATAGGCCACACTGACTATGTGGACGCCCTGCCATGGTCTCCTTGTAAGTAGGGGTGCTGAGAACCAGGCGCTTTCCTTCCTGCCCTGCCAGCGAGCTTCATGATGGGTGCAGGCGGAGGGCCGGGAAGCCCAGAGAAGTGAGCCAGGTGCTTCCAGGTGGACTGGCCCTTTTGTGCCGCAGCTCTTCTCAGAAGCTGAGTGCGGCCTCAATCTGGCGAGGCGGCGGGTGGGCGAGACCCCACGCCGGGCCCGTGAAGTGCCGAATCCAATGGGAAGCAGCCGGCCTCTCACCGCTGCCTCATCCTGCTTGCGGCGGAGGAAATTAGTCACAGAGCTGAACCTCAGAGCCTCGCTTCTTTACCGGAACTGTGGAAGGTAATTAGCAGGTTCGACAATCTCCTGGGTTCAATCGGAGATTAGTTATGTGACGTAAATGGCTCTTTTTGGGGGGGGGGGGGGTTTGGGGGGGTGTTTTGGGGGGGGGGGGGGGGGGAAGGGGTGGGGAGGGGGGGGGGGGGGGGGGGGGGGGGAGCAGAAAGCTGTCCCCGTATCTGACTTCTCTGTGGCAGGCCAAAATTGAATTCCACCCTCTCCCTTTGGCTCATGAAACCTCGTTTTGTGATGAATCATTCTCTTAATTCAATCCCGTGAACTTGGGGACCTTGCCGAGCAAGAGGGAAGAAACTTTTTGAGTCATGAAGGACTCGACCAGACGGTTCTTGGAGCAGGCCGGCCGTGCAGTCGTGGGGAACAGTGGCGGCAAGGCTCTCCTCCGTTCTGAGCCCCCCAGGGTGTCCGTGACCCAGTGGGCTTTAGCGCAAACACGCTTGCGTCCGGCTGGCTGGTCCTCTCGGGAGCTTCCAGGTGCAGATGGGATGTTGACGGGGATGGGCTGTGCCTGTGTCAGACCGCCTCCTTTTCAGTTTCAGAAGTTGTGGCCGCATCTGTGTGGACAGACTGGGGTTAGACAGGGCAGGGCAGGGCAGGGCAAGAGAGCCGGGTGGCGGGGCATGCCCCGCTGTGCTGCGACTCATGCCATGGCACGTGGACTTCAGCGCCGGCTCCCTCTTTGGGTGCTGGTTAGCTTTGGCGAGCAATGGTCGGTGAGCATTGCAAGCTGCTGTTTGCCCTTCAGTTCCCAACCTCAGGCAGCCTCTTTGCAAAGCAGGCCCTATTGGCACTCCGCAGCTCCAAGGCAAAGCTCCTTCTCAAGCCCTGCAGTGAGTCAGACGCTTAGCCTCTGCTCATGTCCAGAAGGCTGAACCCAACTGGCACTTCTCCAGAGTCCGTCCCTTTCAGCAGCCAGCCGGCGAGACCTGCGCAAGCCCTCGAGCTGGGCCGCTCCTATCTCTGAACATTTCCTCGTGGGCAAGGCGACGGCCCCCCCTTGCCCTCCTTTGACACCCCCCCGTCCCTTCCTGAGCATCCCTGCTCTGCTGGTTGGCCTGCGAACCTGTCGGCGGCCCCTTGGAGGGCTCCACAGAGGCAGGAAAGTATAAGGTGTGTCCAAACATGTTATTTGTTACCTTGAGTGGAACAGAAGGAAAGCAAGAAATGTTTTATAGGACATATTGATTTTCTATATATTCCCTATTAAGCAGTACGCTTCAAATGTCATATCCATAAATACTAATTAGGGTCCTTGATTCCAATTTTCAGGTAAGTTTAGCTTACCATTGAGTTCTCCATCTGTTACAATTCACTTTTGCATCCTTTGGGGATTATTAACATAATTAGGCTTCTCAAGAAACACTATATACACACACACACAAGCTGCAGCTTTCTCTGGCAAATTGTCATTTTGGCCTTTTCTTTAGTATCTGATGAGGTTTATTTATTATTGTACTAAATTTGGGATTGTAAATTGTTCGCTTGTACTGCATGGCGAGTGCATGTGTGTGGTGGGTGATGGTCCAGAAGAAAACCCAACAAGACACACTTGTGGAAGTTTGCGTTATTCATGCTGCATTTGAAAACTGCCATGTTTATGGTGTTGTTATGTTGACGCAGGGGCTGTGCTTTTGCAAATGAGCCACTTTCTTTAGAGACTTTAGAAATGGGAGGAAAAGAAGGGATCCGCATCTGAAGGGAGGAAAGAGAAGAACGGCTTGTGGGGTTTGGGTTTGCTTCAAATGAAACCCCCACCACCCCCCGTCTTGTTTCTGATCTCATGCTCCACGAGGGAGTTTGGGAAATAGCCATGCTAAAGCAAAGCTCAGCCAAAAAGTTCTGAGTTTTGTGGACAGAAATCCGGCACTGAGCGGGGAGTGGGTCCGCATGACCTCCACATTCCCACCCAGCCCTTACGATCCAGCCGCCTGCCCGTGGTTTTGGACCAAGTCCCATCAGCTTCCACCATCATAGGCAGTGGGCAGCAGTTATGGGTGCTATAGTCAAAAACCTCCACATGGCCCCCTATCTGGAATTGAGCAATCATCTTTGTTGAGCATAAATTATCTTAAGTTTAACATATTTATTAAATACTCATCAAGGTTAAACATCCGTTAACAATCACTGTGGAAAATACCCGGTTCCTCGGGGCATCTAACAGGCCTCTTTTCTGAAAAAAAATTGAAAGCATGCATGGCTCTTAGCGCCTCGACAGAATGTGTCTTGGCAGTGGATTTTACTTGTGTTCTTGTCCCCCTGCTTCTTCCATGCCTTTCTGTACGGGGGCTGTGTCTCCCCCGGCGTAAACTCCTGCAGGGTTGCAACAGAGAGTCCCCTCTTGGGAATGGTCACCTTAGTAGGCCGGAAGGAGCTCACGTCCTGTCATCATGGTGGCTGCAGCGATGGGAACTGCAGTCCAACACAGAAGCCATTTTAGACAGACTGCACAAGTCCTGTTTCAGGAGGAAGGCTCCAGAAGGGGATCCACTCTGAGGAGCAGCGTGCATGATCCATCGAGGCGGCGCAGGTGCTCTGTGCCAGCGATGGGGGAGGCGACCTGGCTTGTTTCGCCAGCGGCTGAGAGTGGACCACAAAAGCGCACCCTGATTTAGCGCCACCGTGCTAAGGCAAGAGGACCTGGCCAGTCCGCTCACTCCCTGAAATAACCATTGTCTTGCCTTTTTGACCTGCTCTGGAGAACGACGGTCATTGCTAGTTGCCCGCATCCCTCCCCTGGCATCTCCGTCAAGTCCCACGCCGGCCCTCTGCGTGCGGGAGCTTTTACGGAGAATCCCACGCACCAGTGAGGTTTTGCAGCTCTTTGAGACCGGGCCGTCCCCACGCAGAGGACACGGGAACGGCAGGAAGCATTTGGTTGCCCGGATTCAGCAAGAATTCTCAGAAGGGCTGGAAAACGAGCAAAGGCCCCCGGCCCACGCCTGTAGGTTGGCTACATATCTGTCTGGGGGTCTAAAGCTGGGACTGGGGGATAAGCCGGACTCGAGTGCCCTGGGTGATAGAGGAACTTGCCTCCACATCATGTGTAATTCCAGAGAGCAGAAAAGACTCATCATGCGGCTGAGAGAGCAGAGGCCCCTTTCTTTAGAAAATTAGACTTCACGCTGGAAACATTCAACGAATCTGGGGCAGCTTTTCATACCAACAAGAAAACAAATTCTGGTCAAAAGCAGCTTCCATTTTCAGGGATCCCTGCAGCTGGGAACTAAGGCTTCAGGCTGGGCTTTTCTTTAGCCCTTGAAAGTGTCAAGAAGACCCGGTAATCCCCATTGAATTACTGTTTTTAATTCTTGCTCCAAGAGTCTGTGCACTGAAGGGGTTTCAGAGTGCCTGCTTTTTGGATTTGTTCTTGGTTGGAGAACGCAGCTGTGCCCGGGGTGGGGGAGGGGCATTTCGGAGGTGACTCTCGCACTGTTTATACCTGGCCAGAATAAAGGAGACCGTTGCCGAGTGTGAACGTGGCTTGTTTTGGCTTGATTCCTGGCCTTGTCGCTCTTGTGATTCTAAAAGCTGGAGGACGTGCAGGGAAGGCTCAGGGGCGCAGGCGTCTCATCCGCAGGGAAGTGGCCACCAGCCACGCTGGCCAGGAGTGATAGGAGTTGTGGTCCGAGGCACCTGGATGGAACCAGGGAATGCAACCTTTGGCTCTTCAGTTTAGGGGGGAAATCCCTGCATGCTGCAGATTTATTTTAAGTATGTGTTGTTATGGGTGGCGCATCGCCTTGGGCATCTTGTCTCCACTGGAGGAACCGTCCCTGGAGGATGAGAGCTTGACCCTTCGGAGCTCCGTGGGTCCAGGGAACGGGCTTCCCCGAAGGCTGGCTTGGGCCCCCAGGGGGTGCGTCAGGTCTGCCCTCTCCAGAGGCAGGGGGCTTTGCCTCTGAAGCTGGGGGCCATGGCAAGCCACCAAACACTCCCCCGAGAACACCCCATCTTGAGAGTCTGGCTAGGACCGGGGCCAGGTGAAGAAGGGGCTGCTTGCGGAGGATGGCTGCTCACGAGTTAAGGGCTCCTCGCGAGGAGGACTCAGAGGCTTGGTGCTTGCCCAGATCTCTGCTGTTGAGTCTGGAAGGGCCAGTGAATTTCAGCAGGTGAAACATCCAGCCTGCGCTTTGCCGGACAAGCTGCTTCCTGCCCTCCTGGGGGCACGGGGTCCTCACCTGGTGACACGCCCTCTGTCCTGCTCACCTGTGGACTTGGGCTCGGCTCACCTGTTTGGACTGAGCTTGTGCTGTGCACTGGCTTTGCCCACGCTGTGGCCCTTCTCCTGGAACGCTCCCTCTGCACTTTGATCTGGGCGCTCTCGATTTTGGCCCATCCACAGATCTCTGCTTTGCTCGGTCACGTTCGCCATGGTGCTGACTTGCTGCTGGGTCCGTCCATCGTTGGCAACCTGGAGATGAGGCTGATCCAGCCATAGCAGGACAAACCTAACCGTCGTCTTAGGATCCATCCAGTGGCTGACGGTAGTCGATGCTTGACTAGGAACAGGTCCAAACTCGCAGTGTCTGAGCTCATTCAAATGACTCAAATTTCTCCTTGATGCTCATTTTGCCTCATTTATATTTCCAAACATGAGCTGCTTTCTTGAATTAGGAAAAGTTTGCATTCTGTCTGGACCAAATGTGCATTTCTAAAGTGCACATTTTTCCAGCCGAAAGAAATTACATACTTTTTAAAATGCATGGTCCTCCAAGTTTAAAAAAAAAAGTCAGTTCTCCCATTCAAGAATCCACATTTTCACCTAAAGTACAAAATCGTAGATTTTGGAGAGAGATGCTCATGTCCTCCCTTGCACCTGTGCTCCTTGGGGCATGTGTCCACTTTTGAACACAAACGCAAGTGTGGAGAATTGGGGGGAAAGTCCAAAGTATCCCATTCCTGCTCTTGTTCAGGTCATGAAGGAATAACATTCGCAGGGTTTGTGGATAGGAATGAAATTCCTGCCCATCCTGACTGCAAACGGG